CCTGAAATGGTGCAATTAGGGCTGAGGAAGAACCAGATATGGTGGGAGAGATGCAAGCTGTCATAGAGTCATCAGGAAGTAGAGACAGTTTCTGCCAGCATGCAGGAACACTGCCCAGGAGGCACAGGAGAATTTTGCATATTAATTGAGGTGGTAGAGGTTGGCTGCCAGTCTTACCATTACCTGTGTTTTATAACTTGATAAGTGTTTGATCTTTGGCACAAACTATTTGTCTCTCTTTAGTCTGTACAAAACTGCCAGTTACATGGGAACAGCAAAATTCCACACATGCAGACTTTGGTCAGAAATCAGACTGCAGTCTGCTCCCTCAGCTGCAGAAATTTAGCAAAATTACCTACACTGCTAGGTAGTAAGTGAAAGAACATTTCTCTCAATTGCAAAATTACTCTGCATTTTTTGTCAGCTGTGTAATTGAAGCTAGTGAAAAGCTGCTTTTCTGCAATGGTCAGTGCTGACTGTAACCAACAAACTTGTGAAGTGAACACTGAGAGTTTAGGGTTTGAGCTACAAAGTACCTTCTTGCAATGTAGAGCTCAAGAGCTATTTCACCTGCTCATATGCTTTATTGAAGATTCTTAAGGTCCTGCTAAAAATGGTGTCTTAATAAAAATGATGTCTTATTAAAAGCTGTAGTTGGTAAAAAACATATTTTAGCTCAAAACCAAGGGTTGATGAACTACTAATATATGAAAATGCATGTAGAAAACATTCCCTGAATTTTTTATTAGATTGCCAATTGTGCATACTTTGAAACCTTCTAGGGACTTCGTGTGGTTTTGTCTTTGACTGAATCTTCTGAGAGCTTTATGGTTGTAGCACTTCTAGCTGTTATATTATGATGGAAGGAAAAATCTCCTACAAGTGGTAGTAGGAAGCTTTCATAAAGTCCTGCATTTGCTGTCACGCTGTGACAATTAAAGGAAGTATCACAGAAACAAAAATTCTTCAGGCTAGTTTCTATATTATTTGAAAATACATAAGTAGACAACCAAAATGAAGTGGGTAACATAAGTAATAGTTCAACAGTTATGGCACTGGTTGGCCGGGGGTTTTTTAATTAATTTGCTTGGTTTTGTTGGTTTTGTTTTTTTTAGTTCTATACTAAGAAAAAAAAATAAGGTTTTTTGATATATATTTTTAAGTTTCCATCAATTGCATTGTGACTCCAGAAGCTGTGCATAAGCTATTTCAAAAGGTGTCTAATGCTTTTTTTTTGCCAGTACTTAGTATTATGTTCTCTGTTTTAATGCTCTAATGCACATTTTCATTTCCATAGCATCCTTAATTTGCTAATGCTTGTTGTGTCATAATTTGTGCATGGTACAGTTTTGGTTTTTTTTATTCTCCCCCCCCCAGATTCAGTTAAGCAGAATAATTAATTACATAGTTTCTCCTCTGCGTAAGTTTTAATGTGTCTTTCCATTATGATTTTTTGGTGGTGGATATTTCATAGGAGAGCTGAAAGAAACAGATTTCTTTAATTCTGACTGCCATAAAAGTCAATGTAATTTAATTAAAGCCTTAAAAAGGTTTTTACAAAAAGTGGCTATTCTCTTGCTTTCATTCTGTGTGGTTTCCAGGAAAATAATATTTAATCTCACCAAGTTTAAAGAAGTCAAATGACTTCCCTGCTGCCTACAGAGCAAATAAATGGTCTCTTTCCATAACCCTTGTTTCTTGGACCAAGTCTTCCCCAGTTTTCAGTTTGGGTTTCATTTTTCCCCCTTGGTGCTGCCTGGCTTTTATCTATTTTCAGCTGACATTGATGCTTCATTCATCATCTCCGAATAAAATTACCTGCCTTTATTTCTTCTGTGTTTTCCCCAGGAAGGGAGAAAAAAGGGCCACTCAAAGCTATTACACAATGTTCACAAACAATATTTTATTCAGCTTACAGAAGCTCTGGCTGTTCAGATTCTACTTATTTCCAAATCTTCTTATTGCAGTAGCTGTGTTGCATTTAAAAAAGTGATTTTAATTGTTGCTGATCTCTTGCTCTTTGAGTCATGTTGCTTGCTCTGAGTATGGCTCTGGTAGTAAGTACTGAAAACCAATAATGAGCTTGTGGTTTTCTTGCAGCACATACAGGTTTCAATGATTGTTATCTCCTACACTGATTAAATACATAAACTATGTTAAGAACACGACACCTTGTGGAACAATTTCTGATCACATATAGCTGTTCTGATCTGACAGCTGAAGTCTGTCTTCTTTTTAAATGGGAGTACACTTAGTATTTATTCAATTATAAAATATTTATGGTCTGCAGCTTAAAAACTGAAACTTCATTCTTTAATAGTAGTCTTCAAAGACAAGATTTAATCTAAGTTACCAATCCCCTTGTTGATGGCATTTGTGTCTCTGGCCAGTCAAAAAAAAAAAAAGTGAGAAAACATATGTCTTTAGGTAGATTTTTGGTAATGAAAAGTGTTAATTGTGCCTAGACACAAATCTAGGGGTAAAGTAGTCACTTTTTAATTAGAAAGAGCTATTAATTAAATGCCAGTACAGTGTTATTTCTGTAAAAAATACTTAATGTAGACAAAGGTATAGCATTTTAGTATTTCTATTTCTGTGTTATAGGATACCAGTTTAGTGCTTAATTTAATCATGTTTCTTTTATCAGTGTATTTCACATTTATTTCCCATAAACTCTTGCACTTTTGTCTAGAAAAAATAATTATTGCTGTCTTACATACTTAAAATAATGTAAAAACGAACATATCAAATAATGTGAACACTGATTTTCAAGAACTGAAATAAATTAAAAGTTTTCCAGTTTGAAGTTATAATAATTTCACTTAAAATTACTTAATTGGTTAATAAATACTTTAAAAAATATACCTAGTCATATGTATATACATAATCTATGTGTAAGTGTATATATATAAATTTATATATTCTTTGTATAAATTTTTCACTTTATATATACAAATGTGGTTTTGACTCATGTTATTTTTTGTGGTGCTTGAGGGCTGATTCTGCTAATTTCCAAGTAGATTTTGATTTAACTGTAATAGTAGTGGAAATTCTGATAAAACAGGGTAATTTGTAGGACTAAACCTTCAATGATCAGTTGTATGTCTGTGGTTTGGATGTATGCATCTCTGAAGACAAAGTGTGTAAAAGAGAGGTTTTTCTTCCCACATCTCTGCATTTGTTTCATGACAGAGATGGTTTTGAGGCAGTAACTAATGTTAAAAAAAGAATCTTATTGTGGAGACAAAAAGCTTGCCAGTTATTTTAACTTGCATAATTGGCATTATGTTTTTAAGCCTCCTGGAAGTTAATTATCAAAAATTATGGAAGTCCATTATCAGAAACAAAGATACTGAAAAATAATAATGAATGTGTTATTCTTAAATCAACTTTGTTAATTCAAAGTGAATCTCTCTTTTAAGGTCCTGCTGCCACATCTCTCATATCTTGCACAATAAGCAATTCTATATAGTCCTTTCTTCAAAGAGCAATAGTAAAGTGAAAACTGCACAAAATAATTTTACATATGTGAAGGTCTAAAACTCTGGACCCATGAATGGGTAATTGAAGTAAATCAATATTGCAGCTTCAAAGGAATGCTCATATTTTTTCAAAACACATTTTTCAGCTCAGATAATGATACAGAGGAGTTCCAGTTGCCTGAGGATAGAAATCAAATAGAAATGGACACTGTTGAAGATCTGAGAAGAAAACTCCATAGGCTGGAGAAAAGAAATTTGGAATTACACAGTCAACACAATAAAGAAGTAAGGACTTTGTCTGCTTTATTTTACCCTTGGAATAAATGTAACAATATATTTAATTTGTTTTCTTAAATGCGATTTGTTTCCTTGAAATAATCCTCTCATCAGGTGTCTCAAAATCATATTCAGTAGCTGGAAAATAGCAAAGTAGCACTGTACAGACACCTCATGCCTGTCCACAGGAACTGATACCTCTTTTAGTGTCATTGCTAATAGTTGAAGGTGTGTGTGAGAAACTTGAGCACTACACAACAGCAAAGTCATGCAGAAGAATATTTTGCACCCCCAGTTTTGGAATTCTCAATGTAAGACGTGTTTTGTTCGGTGCTTTAATCCCAGTAATTCCATGGATCCATTTTACAGAATAACCCCACCACTGATGGAGCACTAGGAGCACGACAAGAGGAAAGCACTGTGTAAGAAGCAGGAATCTCTTAGTAAAAGGATAGGGAACAACAAACTTGGTTTATTGGTTGTATTTAGTAGAAAACAGATGAATGAACACCCACACCAGCTGCCCCTAACAAACTCCTAAGAGCAGAATTGTTACTTAGAGCAGTAATAAAATTCAAACTAAAGAAAATTTTAATGAAGTATTTTTTCACTGCTACTTCATTTAGGTAATAGTTTGCCACAAGAGCATCATTACCTTTGTAATGGGGTTCAGTTTTTTCCCATGAATGGACCTCCTCTTAATAAGCATGCTGCTGCTTTGTAGATGTTTGAAGAAGTGCCTGTTTTATTTTCCAACTTCTTGCATTCAAATGGCTTGAACGTGGTTTCCTGGGTCCAGTTTTTGGCAGCAGTGACTAGACTGTCTTTCTTACACCAGATAGGAGCCCTTTTTGAAGCCTTTTCTTCATTATCTTTGTAGTGTTTAATAGTATTCTGCTATTAACTGCTATTATGACTGCTATTATGAACATCATTGGAGTTTGTGTTTACAGTGAGTTACTGGGTGTCTGATAATCTAGTATCCCAACACAGCTGCTTTTCTAGTACTGAAATGCAGTTACCAGAAAATTGCCTGTGGAATATAATTAGAGTTTTTACTTGCTTAAGGCAGAGTATGTTTGGAAAAACAGGGAGGTATGTTTAAGGTACATGAAAGTGATCTAGAAACAGGATCAGTTTGCGTTAAAAAAAAGTATCTAAAATGTTTCAAGATTGCATTTCAAATTCAGATGGAATAAGATGGCAGGTGTGAAGGCAATTTCTGAAATATTTATTTTCTAGATGTCTCACTGTGAAAAAGAAATAATGAAATTAAAGTTGGAACTTGAAAGAGGAGAAGTTCTTCATCAACGTCTGGAGAGTGAAATGTCATTTGCTAAAAAACAGGCTCATATGCAGATGTCTTCTGCAGAGAACAAGCTGTGGGATGCAAAAAGCACAGTTTTGGAACTTCAAGGTAATTAAAAAAAAAAAAATCATAGACCAGAGGCTACATCAGTCTCAAGTCATAAAAACAAGCAGAGATTGCATAAGGTTTTACGGTTACAGCCTTTTTTGAAAATCTCTTATTTTCCCATGTCTTACTCATTGGCTTCTGTAAGCTCATAAGAGTTTACAAAGACCTTGCTGTCTCATATGAATTAAATATAACCTGCTAAATCTTGCAATCCCTTTTTTTTCTCTTGCTCCTTACCTTCTGTTATTCCTTCCCTCAGTGTGTACAGAATTGTAATTAAGGTGTCCCTCTCCGCTTCCTGCTTATCACTATGCCAGCAGTTCTTCCTTCTACATTTCAGGGAAAAAAAAATCTAATCCTGTTTATTTGTTTACACTCTTTCAAAAAATTTTTCCTTCCCCCCCAGGAGGTCTCATTGTGCTGCTTTTTTCTTTCACCTTTTCAGGTATTTCTAGCTTTTCATTGCTCATATCTGGCCTCTTCATGTCATCTTTGGTTTTGTTTTTATACAAGTAATGTGTGTTATGACAGTAGTATGTGCAAAGGAGGGGTTTTACCTACATATTTTTTTCCCTATCAGTTTCGCATTCAGAAACTCAAATTTTCTTAATCCTTCTCAAACAGAGAGATATTTTTCACACTTAAAAGCTGGGGAGATGCATTTTTTTGTTAGCTAAGTATAATACTCTTTAAATTTAGTATAGGAGATGTATTTGTGAACCTTTGGTGTTCACTAAAAAGACTGGAGCACTCCTGGAGTTTGTAACTTTGGCAGGATGGAAGGAGACCCTGAAACTTGAAAGTACACTTATACTGCCAGATTTTTAAAAGATAATAAGAAATCTGCACTTTCATTCATTTGGAGAACACACAAATTACAAAAATCTTGATTGGTTTAAAATTCTCAAACTTTTTTTATTTGGTTGGAGTTTTTTGTTTTGTTTTGTTCTTTGTTGGGGTTTTTTCTCTGGTTTTGTTTTTATTGTGACAAATGTCAAAGAAGCCAAATAGTCTCATTTCTTTTTCAGTTTTTAACTTACTGCTTCTTCTTCCTGATTTCTTGGAGCCTTGCTCACTTCATGTGATGTTTTTCATACAATCTCAACTTAAATTCTTGGACAGAGCACCTCACTTGTGCCCTGTCTTTAGTATTTTCTCCAAACTGTTTTTCTGCTGTTCTTGAGACTTGACTTCCTGACATCTGACAGGTGTTCCCCTTCATTGTGATTTCTCACCATGTCTCTTCTGGTTGTTTCACCCTTCTCCAGCTAGGCAGAAATTTCAGAAGAATGGGATGAATTTGAAGTAAAAATCTATTAGAAAATGGCGATCACGTAAATGCCAGTGTAGCTAGTTGTACTCAGTAACTTCAAAAGCTAATACAAAATATTTTGACTGAGGTTGTGAAATGAAGCAAAGTTCCTAGTAAAACTGCTTTTAGGAAAAGAACTTTTCCTTGGCATTGAAGCTTTCACAGATAAGTAGATCCAGTATTTTCCTGTCTTGGGGCAGTTGCTGGGCTGAAAATTTAAATCTCTTGAGCAGCAGTAAATTTCCCCAGAAAAGCCAAGCCTTTGCTCATTAGCTCTACCTGCCTTAGGTTTTCCTAGAGTCTTTTTCATGCGGCAGCCATCTGTCTTTACCATTACTTAAACTGAGCTTGAAATTATTTGGTACAGACTAAAGTTTCACGTAGATATTTGGAAATAAGCTAGCCAAGTTTTGCAGAAAAATGTAATTAAGTTCCTCATGCTTATAGAGCCTCACTTGAAAGAGTTGAATTTTTATTCCTTTCCAATTTTTATTCCTTTCCTTAATTTGTAGAAATCTCCAAAGCATTTCCATGTCCTTGTGTGAAAAGACACTACAAGAACACAAAATGTGTTTGTTAATAATCCAGCGTGTCACAGGATATCACAGTACACAGACTTAGGTTCATTACCTTTTTCTTTCTGAACATGCTTATTTGCAGTGCTATTTTTCTTTTTCTCTCTTTTTTTTTTTTTTTTTTTTTTTTTTTTTTTTTTTTTTTTTTTTTTTTTTTTTGTAAACAGCTGTACTCGATGGTGAATACCAACAGAAAGCAGAGGCTGAGAAAATGGTTGAAAGTGCTCAGAGGCAGTGGGAAGAGGAGCAACAAAGATTGGCAGTGGAGAGGGATAACATCCACAGAGCACACCTTGCTGAACTGGAATTCCTTTTCAAAGAAAGAACTGAAACAGAAAAGGCTTCTCAGGTGTGATATATTTATAGATGGAAAGTTCCATGATATGCTGGCTGAAAGTTTTTTGGTGCAAAGTGCGTGGTGGGTTGGAGTTTTTCTGGTTTAAGAGGAAAAAAATTCCCCAAATAGCTGAATACTGCAGACTAGTTCTGAAGGTTACAGCCTTATGAAATTACACTTAGTGTGCAACACTGGTTTGGGGCTTTGATGGAACATGTTGTGGCTGTTTGTCATGGTAAGCACCTAACCCAAGTTATCAGTACACAGTGGTAGGGAAAAACAGAGGAGCTTGTGGACAGGACATAAGATCCTTCTCAAAACAAGCAGAAACACAAGTAAGTTTTTATTCAAAGCTGATTACTATAAAGGCAGGGCAGGGTACAGGCTGTGAAGAAGCCGACTTTTAGATGAAGTTTTCTTTTTTGAGTTGCCAGGTGCAGCAGGGCAAGCTCTGAGTTCTGGCTAACAGTAGGTGGCTGAGTTGGTTTGAGGAGGCTCTGGAAGGGTATTGCCTTTTGTTGTGTACAGTGTTTTGTAGAAGATTCTTTCAGAGAGTTTAATGCTGCAGCAAAAGATGAATGTTGAAAAAGTATGCTATGCTCTGCCAAGTGATGTTTGTCCTCAAAAAGGACAAAAGGAGCAGTGTATGCTCAGGGCATTGTGTTCTCTGTCAGCTCCCTGGCAGTCTTCTCTGCCAGTGGTTGTGGAGGAAGGGGCTTTCTTGGTAGATGCAGTAAAGCTACAAAATGGTAGGAAATGTAATTGAGTAGACTAAGATCGCCATGAATACATCTAGCTCATTAAACAGGTCAGTGTGAGCTGTAGACTTTCAGAATCTTGACATCTCTGAACTCAGAAGTCTTTCTGAACTTTCAAAACTCTCCAAAAGGAAAATGTGATTCACTAATAGGTGCCAAACCTATAACCTGCCTTCAGCAGTAAAAATGTTCTAATTTTCCCTTTTGCTTTTGTAGCTGTTCCTCTGCCCATCACCCTACAATTATGTTATGTATAGTCATAAAATTCTGGGAAATAAAAAAATCTTACAGCTGGACATGACTGCATTGAAAGCTTAATTCATTTAAACTTGTCAGATAAACATCAGAAATATGTGGGTTTATAAATTATGACTTCGAATGCACTGCAGTCTTTTGTGTTGTGTATTTAGAGACTTGGTTGAAATCTCCTTTAATTATTCTGAGCTATGAAATGAAAGCTAAGGAGATTTAATTGTGGTCTTAATTCATGCAGAGAAGTGGGATTCTGAGTATGTAGGCAAATCCTGTCTGGAAAAACTACACTTCACAAACTGTAATTCTGAACTTGGCTGTAAAAATGATGAGGTAGGATGGGAGTGGAGTCACAGAGTACTGAAATGTGTTTCTGGGACACGTAGGAAAGGTCACTCTCTGCTCTGTGACAGTTTCATGATGAGCTTGTTGTGCGCATCCTGGCCCGGGATAGGAGGAGTTGGGGCTCGCTAGGAAGGGCAATAGCATCACCTCGTGGTTAGACAGGAGACCGTATCTCTTCACGTTTTTTTCCTCAGAATACTTGGGAGATCGCGTCGTTTACACACGGTTAAAAAAAAAAACCAAACAAACAAAACAAAACCAAAACAACCAGACATATTTTCCATGAGCAAATATTTGCAGGTGGTATGGGGATAATGTTAAACAGTCATACAGCCTCCAACAAGGTTTGAAATTCTACAAAGCTCTGAAATCCTGCAGCTCATGCTGACTTTTTCAATGAGCTTGATATAGTCATGACAATTTTAGTTTGCAAATGTTAATTATATTTCCAGTATAAAAAGTTTAAAAACTTTTGTAGTATTTTACAACAAACTATCTGTTAATTATTTCACATTTCCCAGTTCACTTTTGTTAATATCTGGAAGATAAACTTGAAGAAATAAATATATCCATGTCTTTCCAGGTATAGTTCCATACAAATTGTTAATTTTTGTTTATTTATTTACTTATTTATTTATTTTGCATTTTGAAGGGACGAAACCTGTCTTGCTGGACATGAAAAGCTAGATGATTAGCTTAGATTTAGTCCAAATTCATATGGACTATGGGGATTTCATAGAACTTATTTCGCAGACCCACAGAGTCCACTGATGTCAATAATTCTTCCAACCTGTAGTTTAGTTCAATTTGTGTATGCAGAAATTGATGTGGGGATCAGCTTCTTTTATTCTACTGAGGACTTCATATTTCATAAGTTTTTAAAGTAATTCAGTTTCTAGAAAGAAGAAAATCCTTTTCAAAATAGCAGAAATTAAAATTATTTAGTCTGTAGGAGTTACTGTTTCTGAAAACATCTGATTTGAAATTTTAGAAATTAATATCAGAACAAAAATGAACTTTTGTCCCCATGTGCCATGTAACCAAATGAACCCTTTTTCTATCATTGCCACTGAGTTGAGAGACAGAAGAGATTGGAATTGCTTTACTCTTTTTGAGAAAGATTTCCTGTGGAGATCTGATTTTAGTGTTACCACAGAAGGTCATGTTCACAGTGATTTTTGGGCCAATAGAGTTTTCTTGGTGTTGAATTAAAAGCATGTCTGCTGTTGGGTAAACACTTCTGTTGACATGTGCTGGCATCTTAGATTTTAAAGTTCTAGCATCTTCTGATGCGGTATCCACTCCTCTGTTGAACTCTCTACTGCAATGCTTTATCTTAGTAAAAGTACATCTTGATGTATTTCTTTATTAATTTACCTATGTATCTTTAGAAAACTAATGCTGCCCTGCAAAGCATGCTCAAGAAGTTTAAGGATATGGAGGTTGAGCACCATGGCTGCAGCAAGATGCTGAGGCTCCAGGCTGACCACCTGTATTACAAGGATAAACGGCAGGAGACGCTCATCAAAGATCTGGAGGTAAATCTTTCTGCTTGCTGCTGGGAGCCTCAGCAAGCACTGGCACAACTAAGCAGTTTCATTTTTGAGGGGTGGAACCTCTGAGTTAGTCTCTGTGTGCCTTGTGTTTGATTAACAAAATGTGGAGCATCAGTTTGGCAGGAAAGGCGCATTCACAGGTGAATGCTGCGAGCCTGACCTGAGACTCTGAACAGCAGATGGGAAGAGCTCTATGTCCCTGGGAAAGTGCTCTTAAAAATATGGAAGTATAGAGGAACTATTTGTGCAGGATTTGTGATATTTTTTTTTTTTTTTAATTTAAGATTGTTAAGAGTTAAATCTTTTGGGAGGGGAAAAAGCTTAAGCCTTTTGGCTGATGGTGTTGTGGAGTAGGTTTGGTATGCTCTGCGCTGTGACTTTCTCTTTAACAGGCCTTCCACAGATCTCTGTTTCTCTGTTATTTCCTTTTGTGAATGTGTGAGATTCTACAGAGTTTAAATTTAGTGCCAACAGCTTGTATTAAAATTTATTTATTTATTTTCTAGCAAATGTTTCCCTAACTGAAGTGCTTAAAGTCAGATTCAGTCTCACATACTTGCTATTTTGCTTTACCTGTCCAAAATCAGTGACTTCATTTATATCTATGTATCGTTAGGTATCTTAAATGACTTTTAATATTAATGTGGTTTTTTTGATCTTTATTGTATCTCTTGAAGGTAGGAGTCATTTTGGAGTGTACTGTTCCTCTCAAATAAGTCATGAGTCTTAAGTGAAAAGATTTTTTTTGATAGAAAACAGTGTAGTTAAAATTGCATGTGAATTTCTGTTATAGCAACTCTGTAGATACTGCTTTTGCTAAAAGCATTTTTTACATTAAAATTCCATGTGCAGGCCTTTATAGGTATACAGGCCTTTATAGATAGGTATTCTGTGATTATGAAAAATGCAGCAAGAACATAATCCTACATCAATTTCTTTAATAAAGCAAAATTTTTATTTTAATATTCTGGATATGTAATTGGTTTTTTTTATTTATTTATTGAGATGAGTTTTCACAGTTCCAAAGTGCAAGTAGTTCAGATACCACAGGTTGGTTTATGGAGACCTAATAAACTGAACAAATAAAGTTGTCTTTGCATGATGTTATCATCTTTCTGGACTTAAATATTTTCAAAATGTCCTTTTAGGCAGCTACACTGAAAATAAAGGAACTGGAGGAAAACACGTCAGCAGCAAGACTAGCACATATAGAATGTAAATACACTATAGAAACCATGCAGGTAAGCTTTTAATTAAATATTTGGTAAAAGTTTACAGTAAAACAGAAGATGAACTTGTAAACTTACAATCTTCCAAAAATACTAAGACTTCCTTGCTCCAGTAAAAACACTGAATAGATTTTTTGCAATGAGTGTCAAAACTGTAAAAGGTAATAGAAAAATATCTCCTTTTTTCAGGGGACTATCAAGTTAATAGAATAAATATTAAAATAAAATGTCCCATTCTTATATTTGAGAATTCAAAGTAGTATTGAAACAGTGAGGGGAAAGGAAATGTTTCACAGTAGTTAAACTATTCAAATATCCTGTCCTATATCTTTGGAATGGGCAGTTAGATAATTTTGGGGACAGAGTGCATATATCCAGCTTCTCTAGCTGTGAGATATTAATGCATCCTGAGACTGCAGTTCCAAATATAATTATTCAGGGTACATTTCAGCTTCAAAGCTATTATATCTGCAGTTACCAGAGAAGTTTGAATACATGAAAAAAATGTAATATGTATACCTGAATATTAAATTCTTGTGTTACTACACTGTATTACACAGGGTTTGATCCATTAAAGCAATTAGGATTTATTTTAAAAAACAAGTGTGAAAAACCTGTAAGATGATTGCTGAGTGATCTCATACTGACTAACAAAGCCTTCATACTCGACTTTTGAAAAACTAAATGAGAAAACAAAAGGGAATATAATCTTTTTTTTCTTGTTTTTTGAGGAATACAAACAAGCATTGCCACTTCTTCAGTCAGTTATTTTCTTTTGACCTTTTCTAAGTACAGGCACTTAGCTTTCTGACATGATGATTAACTAAGTAGTGATGATTCAGTTTTCTTGGTTTCTTCTCTACTTTTACAACATACAAAGGAACTATAAGGGCAACATTCCTTGAAGTTAGAAATTTAACTTTTATAGGTGAAGAACTGATAAGGTTTTCTTCTTGTTTATGTACATGTACAAGCTCCACATGAGCTTAGTTCTGAGTGCAAGTGTAGCTTTTACTGTTAAGCCCATCCTTTCACAAGTCTACTAAAAAAAGTAGAATTCCCCTTGAAAACTTCTGTAATGCAAAAAATTGAAAACAGCAAAATCCAAACTCCCTGAATGGACAACAAAATGTGCTTTTGGTCAGCATATCTATTTCTCTCTGTTTTGAAATCTATGTATTAATACATTTTTACATATATTCAATGCTTTCTAATTCCATATAGAATTAATAGAAGATATTAACCTGTAAAAAGCAGAACAGAACAGTGAACAGCACTAAAGACCATGGTAGTATTTTCTAACTTCTTTTAACTGCTTTCTTATCACTCGGTAGTTGAGAATTCAAGAACTTGAAGATGCTTTGAATGAAGAGCGCCTCGGGAGAGAAGGTTTTTCAGGGGTAGCAAGGAAAGATTTCAGAGAGTCAGAAAATGCACATGAGAGAGGAAAAAAAGTGTAAGTTTCCTTTTAAAGCCATTGCAAAATGGCAACAGACAGCTTGAGTACAACTCGTAGTTTACATTCCCTGCAATTTTCAGTCAGCAGAAAATCTAGTACAATGTGCCAAACCAAACGAAAGGTTCAGAACCTGTCAGTCCATTAATAACAGGCCCATGTCAATAACCAAAGGTATAGTAAATGGGTACAGATAATAACTGACCTGTTACAGACTATTTGCCTACCTAGAAATTTTGAAAATAGTAGTTATGGTAGGGTCCAGCCTCCAGTGGTGGTTGGGGTTAGTGTAGGAAAACATAGCCAGCAGGTCTAGAAAAGATGGCTTTTCTATCTACATTCTATCTACATTCTAGATATATTCTTATTATGAAGACATTATTTTCCACTTTAGTGACTCAGTTGAATCTCCAAGACTCCTGTCAAGAAGTTGTGTATCATTTATAGTGGATAATCTTTGTTTTCAACTTTTGAATGGCTGTAGAAAGCTTTAAACGGTTAAAAAATACTGAAATGTGTGACAGCAGAGGAAATCTCTTGGGATGTTTCCTGCCCAGCACAGTCTGCTGTGTCTGTGGTAACAGAGCTTGGGTGACCCCTCTGTCAGCCTAGAACTATAGGGGTCTGTATACACAGGTGTTTGTGTTGACTTACACAACGAGTGGTGGAGAATTAAAGAAACTGGTTTTCCTACAAAAAAAAAAAGCAAGTTTCCTGGGCAGCTAATTCAAGATTCATGGTTATGGAATATTTTTTAGTAATATATTTAAAACTTGAGCCTTTGCAAACATAAATTTTAAGCAAGCGTTTGGCTTTCCTGACACCATGCCTAAGTACTCAGACAATCTTTTTAAATTCTTCCTTGGATTCCTGTCTCTGATTCTGTCACCTTTGTGCTGTTGTTTGGCCTTGTAGTTTCCTCATCAGCTGCCTGTTTAGTCATGCCAGGCTCTTGTTTTCCTGACTGACACAGTACAAGAGCAGGTTAAAATTCTGGGTAGTCTGCTTTAAAAGTCATGCCAGAGTAGAGCCAGGCATGTGGAAACCTTAGGAGTGAGAACTGTACGTGAAATCAGGGTTGATGATGCAAGATGTGACATGGTCTCTCTGAGAGAGAGACCATGAGAGCTGTTGTGTTAGTTAAAATATAAAGACTTCTGTTTATTATATGTAATTTCGAGGCCATATCCAAATATTAATCTATTGAATTGCATGATACAAGGCTTGGTAACTGAAAACATAACCACTTGACAAGTCTTTCTTAGAAGGAATATGAATTTCTTCAATTAAGAAAGGCAAGCAGCTTCAGAAGTCATGTGATGTGATAACGTGGTATCTGCCATATCCATTGATTATCCTTTAAAAGAATACATTGTATTTGACAAAAGCAATTTTGGTTAAAGTATCTCATTATGGAAACTTTCCAGTTTACGAGGACAACGTTCATCCTTAAATGTGCAATGGAGAGATGAGGCAGAGGCAAGGAAGAAAGCTGAAGAATCCTCTAGGACATTTGTGGATACTATAGAGAGCTTCACCGTGGAGGAAGGCTCAATAGTAAGGAAAAAAAAACCTTTGGCACATATTGTTTAGGTTTTTTTAAACATACTGTCAAAATATTTACTGTGCTGAGGATCTGCTGCATTTGCTGTGCTGAACTGTGGAAGAACGCTGCCATTTTCTTACCCTGTTTGTTATTATGCTACCTTTTTAAGAATTTAATACATTGACAAATGTAACCAGTGCCTTGGAGAAGCTAATTTTTAAAGTCTGGATAGGATGTACTGGCATTCCTAATTAAGAAGGCATTTTGTAGATATGGATTATGATTTCATCTGAAAAATATTCTGTCTTTCTACCCAACTTTTTTGTCAAGTTTCATTAGCTACCATTGTAGAAATGTTTATTTCTATTTCATATACTCTCAGACTGTAAAAAATTATTGAAAATTGTTTCAAACTTTCAGGTGGAAAAGCAGAGGGGATTTTTTGTTGTTTTGTTTTTTGCTTGTTTTGCTGTGGATTTGGCACATTGGATGTATTTCACTGGATTATTTTCTGAAAACTTTCTCCTCTTATATGACCACTTTGGGCCTTTCTACTGTCTTGAATAACAATTGTGACATCTTCTCACATAGCAGCCGGGACGAAGGAAAGTTCTTAGCATGTCTATAAAATCTCTCATTGTGTGGTAACATTTGCTCTGTTTCTACTCTTAGCAATATTAATTTTGGTGGTGGTGGTTTGGAAACTTTTCCTCTTTCTCTCTCAGACCTCTGAGCATGGAAGGTACCTGTTGGAGCAGAGACCTGCATAAGAGAGTCTTCAGATTTGTGGGTGTCTTTTGTTCAGTTGGTGGAGTTATTCTGCACTTTGTTTTAGTGTAATTCATAAACTGAAGAAAAATAAAGTCAGAACATTCTTTTTCCTTCCTCTCTGGAAGAACAGCTTCTTCCATGCAAATATTAATGTATTAAAAGATATTTGCTGGCCTAGTTAGCCTGAAAAAATAATTTCATCAGGCACAAAAGGAATACATAGAAAGAAAAGCAACTGTCTGGCCTAACTACAGGCACTAATGATTGCTATTTATAACTATGAAACACAATTACAAGCTGAAAATGTTCTACTAGAAGCCTTAAGTGCTTGCTAGATGTTGCTGTGCTAAGAGTTTCCCTTTTTATCTGTATTCCTTAGTAAAATATATGTTATATATGAGAAAAATTCAGTACAAGATTTCATTCATGATCAAGATTTCTGGTAATGGAAACAGTGTTTAATGGCATGCTCAAAATTAATGTTATATTACTGAAAGGTTAAAAAAACAAGATTGTCTCACTGTCATATTCACAGAGCTGGTTGTTTTAATTGTTTTATTCAAAAGATTTCAAATCACAGGACTGTCCTGAGCATGCTAGAAATACTCATTTTTGAAGAGTTGTATTAGTGGTTCCCTTATGAGGTTAAATATTTATTGCCTTGGTTGGCTTTGTATTTTTCCCAAAGATATTTGTATTTGTTTGGGAAGCAGGAGTGCCTGTATGTGATCCTGTTTACTCCATTGAGACAGCTTTGATTTTGCTTCCCAAAATGAAAAAGTGGAAGACTGTAGCAGCAACTAAGTATGGATAACATTTAATATATTGCTGTTGGTCTTCGCTATACCCATGTCAAAACTATGTGAAAATGTCAGTGTGTTCTCTTCCCCTCATTTTCCCTTCCTGCTTTCCTGAACTGTACAGTAGTTTCTCATATTTTACACCACTTTTGTGCTCCCTGAATATGTTCTTTCCACTCTAGTCTGAGAATCTTATCTTGATCTCTGACTGTACTGATACAGCAGTTTACATACTTTGTCCTCATGGCATTTGAGAAACAGCTTTCTATTATCTTAATCAAAGTTTCAAACCACATGAATGTACTAAAAGTATGAAGAATTGAATTTCTACTGCATGCTGTTTTTACTGGAATTTGTTTATAATCTGAATCAATTTATTATACCACTGATTAAAATCACTGTAAAGAAATGAGGCATGGCTTGTGGAGTTTGACTGATGGAGTTGTAGGCCTATTTTGGCCAGCTATTTAATCATATATAATCCATGCAAAACAAATTTTAAACTAATTTAGAGTGTGTTGTGCTGCCAGGCCAACTGGACTGTTTTCCGTGTGCTGTGCAGTTGTGTGGGGGCACAGTTTGAATGCACCTCAAAGTATTAACATGGGAGATTGAATTGCATCCACTAAGAGCATGGAAATTTTTATCTGTGCCAGGTCACGGTTGTGGCCCCCACAGAACTGGGATTTATTCAAATACTTTATAGACATACAGTGTATAATTAGATAGATTTTGTGAAATCTGTTTTCTTATTCTGCTGTAAGATTATGCACTATTATGGCTGCAAGTATTAGAAATGAACTGAGGAATTTTGTAAAGCTGTCAGAATGAACTTTGAGATCTTGTTTTCAGCTGCATTCAGCACTGCTACTGCACATATGATGCCTCTCTTTTGATTTTAACAGTGCCCAGCTACAGCAATTAATTTTTCTTTGTGTTCCAGAGGGAGATGTCCGTTCTCCTGAACTTATACCAGAGCATGGCAAACGCCCATGTGCTTGCCAAACATTCAGACACCCCCCTGGAAGAGTTACCGTGGACAGAGCTTTGTGCACTCTTGTGTGAGAATGTTGAAGCCCTGATCCTGAACTTCCACAAGGCTAAGGAGAGGGTGAGTGTCCCCAGGCATCAGCTGCCTCTGCTGAGCTCCGTGACATTTGTGCACGCTGCAGTCTCGTTAAAAAGGAGTGATAGTCATCCCCCCAAGAGGATTTGGACATTAACAAATGAACACCTTTAATTATGGCTGGTGCACTGCTCAGTTTGCGGCTGCTGCTGTGAGCATTTAGATGTGACCGGAGTGTGCATCAAGTCTCTCAGCTCCACCTTCTGTACAGGACACTCTGAAAGGACTATCTGATACTAGCCACAGGGACCTAATTAAAAGATAATAAATTCATCTTACTGATGAAGAAATTCACAGAATGTAGTAATTTACAGTCATAAAGCAAGTCTTTATTTTATCACAATCCATAAGCAAAATACACTCTCTCCAGGAATATCATCTTTAAATTATGTGTTTATGATGCAGATGTACTATTTGAAAGAATGCCAGTGTGGGGTTTTTGTTTAATTGTAGTTTTTGGATTATGGAATTTTTATTCAGAAACACAATAGAAATACCTGTTATAAAACATTTATCAGTATTTGTGTGAAGGAGGAGCTGTACTTTTCTAAGTGATATTAATGCAAGTGAGCTTACATGGCCTTTCTTCCAGCAAACTTTGTTTTTTAGGGAAAAAAAAACAAAAAACTTTTTAAATAGGTCAGCTGGCTCCAGAGATTAAGGTAAGAGTGGCTAAGCCACTCTTCAGGATTTCACTTTGTTTTCTGGTTTATTTATCTTTTTAAGTAGAAGAGGAAAGGGAGAAGGAAAGATTAAAAGGGAAGGAGATGGAAATTGTTGGCAGTGTTTGTGGGGCTTGTGTCTTATTGTGTTTGATTTTAAATTAAGCCTTGTTACTGAGACTGGTTGTGAGGTCTCTAGGGCTCTTCTCAGGTTCTTAGCAGCTTTTCTGGGATTTTAGACTGTGTTGTCCAAAACTTTTTTCCCTACAGTTCAGTGTTGTCTTGCTGATATTTTCTAGTTACAAAGTGCAGGTGTGTGCATTTGGAGATCATTGTTAGCTTGGTTCATTCCTCCATTTAATTTGCATGGGAGGTACAGTGTTAAACCACAAGAGTGAATCCCTTCATGCTTGTTGAAAACACATCATAAACTTATGAACTACTTGTAAGGAAAATATTCTCTATGTTTTCCCTGAAATTGTTTAAAAACTAATAATAATCTGGAATGTCTTGGCTTTTCAACAAAAAAAAACAACCCAAAAAAACTGCCAAAAAAACAACAAAAAAAACCCTAACCAAACAAAACCAAAAACCCCAACAAAATAAAGCCCCCCAAAAACCCCCAAACAAAACAAAAAAATAAATGTTGTTTTTTAATTTTTGTTTGCAATCATCACAAATTTCTAAATTTCTATATGCTTGGATTACTAATTTACTAATATACTAAAATTTAATACAATTGTTTAAAAAATGTTTGAAGTGTCTGGTTCAGATTTCCTACAAAGAAGGTGACAAGTATCTGCAAGGTGGTAAAAGGATGGCAGAACCAAAACCAAATAAAATACTTTGTTTCAAAATATATTTCAGTTTTGTTTTGAGAACCAAGTAATTAATCTGCTATGAAAGAGTTTTACTTAGTTTTAATGAAAATTCTGAAGAAATTACAGTTTAGATTTTATGCTGAAATAGTCTGTGCTTGACTCAAAGTGAAAAGGAAAAAAATAATTTCTTCTTAAATGCTTGTCACACAGATATCTCAGTTAGAATATATTTGCAAGCACAAGACAGACACTGTGAATGACCTTCAGCAGAAGCAGGAGGATGCTTTTGAGAAAATGTCTGAACAGTTAAAAGCACAGGAACATTGCTGGCAAAAAGAAAAACAATATCTTGAACAGCATTACTCAAATATCCTTGCAGAGATTCATGCAAGAGCACAGGTATGGTGCTGGGAACTTCTAATTTTTTGTATTGTAACATTTAATGGATTCTTTCAGGAGTTTAAGGCCCTTAGCAATTTAAGGTCATTTGGGAATATTAGTATATTTTTAAATTAAAAAAAAACCCAAACAACAAATCAACTCATCACTGTAATAATATTAACACCACTTAAAATAAGAAATAAATTACTTTATTGAAGCATTTGTTGAAGAGAATTTGGTTCACAGCCTCAGCTGAGAAGCCTGATTTCATCTACAGTGGGTAGTATTTTTTTTCTGAGAATGCTAAAGCTGTAAGATCGGATTTCCTTTTTTCAAGAATTACTGAGGGCAGCAGCTACTTTTTCAGCATCATCATTTGCAGAGATGGTGTGGAGTAATAATAATGTGGTTACCTGTGGATAAATTTAATTACATATGTACTGACCCTAAGAAGAGTGGTAGATTTCAACAGTGTTAAGTGACTCTGCTTTATTGATATGTCCTAGGGTGATGTTATGATGCTTGTATCCCCAGTTGTGTGTTCTGTTTATGCTTGATATTATGTTCTGTGCTTTCAGAACTGAGTCTGAAAGCGAAGGTTTCTTTTGTCTTGTTATCAGCTGGCTCACCTCTCCCCATGGTCTGCTGTCTAGGAGAGGCTTTGCTTGCTTGCTCTTGCTCCTGCTTTTGCTTTTGCCTTTGCTTTTGCTTATTAGTTAGTTTAGCTAAGCAGTCCAATTTTTTTTTCCCTGGACTGTTTTCTTTCCCTCTCCTGAATATCACTCCAACCTGCTCCGGACTGGGACCTGGGAAACACTGAGAAACCCCAGGAGCCTGCATTTGGTGATCTGCAGCAGCCATCCCCAGTGTCGGAGACGGAGAACTGGGCGACCACGCCCAGAAGACACTTTCTGGATTTGTCATCTCTTCAGAGTGGTGAAAGAGTTTTTGTCATCTGGTGTTGTTAATAATTTTTTTTCTTTTTTGTGCTGGGGAGTGTCTTGTTTGTTAAATAAACAGGTTTTTTTCCCACTTCTCTTTGAGGAAATTCTTCCCGAACCAGGTTGGGGCAAGGGGCCATGGGGGTTTTCTTTCTGGAGCTCCTTCCAGAGGTTTTCTCCCGAATTTGCCCTAAACCAGAACATGATACTACAGTGAGAAGTGGTTTTAAAGTGTGAAACTGCCACTGCTTGTTAGATGAGTTATTTGCAATCCAAAATGTTACCTGTTATTCCACAACCACAATTTCCTGTCTTTACCATCACATTTCTTCACACCTGTTTCAATTAGAAGCATTGTGAATAAAGGAAATAGATGTCCCTTGTTATTTGTGAGTTGCTGCAACTTACTTCACAGAATAATGTTGTAGTTGATGCAGATTTCAGGACTGGAAGTCTTTGCATGCTGAAAAATTTAATCTGTCTAGCTTCATGTTCCAGCCTTCCTTACCTTTTTTCTCTCACTTATGCTGGCTTTCTGCTTGGTAGAGCAGTGCTCTCCCTGAAATTGGAGGTTGTTACTACTATTGTTAAGTCAACTCATAAAACTGTATTGTGGGCAGACAAGCGGTGTTGGACCTTCTGTGAGCTGTCACTGTATTGGTGGATTGTTGTTAGAAATCAGGAGTCCAATTTGCAGTTGATGATCCTGTAAATTTCCCTCCTATCATTGTTTTGGTTTCATATATCTGATTCTGTAATAGCTTACTAGAAGGAGACACTTTCATCACCATCATTACTAAGAATATTTGACTCCTGTAATGCATCATTTGAGTGGCAAAATGAAGAATTTTCTTCTTGCTCTCATCTAGGTAAAAACAATCTAGTTAATATTTCTTCCTTTTATTTTTTGGTTTGTTTCTGTCACAGGAATGTGAAGAAACAGTGCAGAAAAACAGGCAAAAACTGTATGGTCTTGAACAAATCCGTGAGAAACTGGCCCACGAAAACTATTCCATGACAAACACATTATCAAATGCTTACAAGGCACGCTCATCCCTGCTGGCAGCCTGTGCACTGCTGTCAGGGGCCCTGTGTCCTCTCTACAGCAGACTGGGTGCTGTGTCTTGCCAAAGAGACATTCTCCAGGAGCAGGTGAAGCACCACAGATTATTGAACCAGAAGATCATCAGCCTCCTTTATGCTCTCCCTACTAATGTGGGAAACAGCCAAGTCGAAGGCAGGCTGGGGCAGAGAAGAGCCAAGAACCTGGTTTACATCTTCCGAAGAGCCGTGATTGCAGTTCTGGCTGCTAACAGGCTGAGGGCTCTGGCCCAATATTCTTGCACCTTTTTTGTCTGGACAGATGGCTCCAGAGGATGCACTGGAATTCAAGTTTGTGTGGGAGAATCCAGAGGCAGGCATATGTCACGTAAGTGAAATGTGCTTATGACAAATTATATGGTTAAGGAATAACAAAGAGCAAGATTATTATTATTATTGTTGGGGCATAAAGACATATTTAATGACATTTGGACAAATATTATTTATGGATTTATGTTTCTTATGTTGCTTGACAAATGTATTTCACTCTAAGAGGAAATGCCTAGTTTTATGTTAAGCATTGCAGGTAAAATTGCAATTATGCACATGAATTTAACGCTATCTGATATTTTTCATATTTGTGTTATGAATTTCAGAACTAGGTGCTACAGTATCTTTTCTGTGGTAAATATCTTGCAGTGTTCCTAAATTATTAACCATCACCTTTTCTTTTTTTTTTTTTTTTTTAAAAATTTTTTTTTTTTTTTTTTTTTTTTTTTTTTTTTTTTTTTTTTTTTTTTTTTTTTTTTAGAAAAGGTATTTCCTTTTCTTTTTAAAATAATTTTTAATATTTATTTCCTAATAAAACCCACAAAAATGGCTTTCTGATTCAGGTAAAATATTAGCATAGGATTTTGAATTTTTCTTTAGAGACTATGTCTACTTGCCTCTTTCTGTTGCCAGATCAGTTTATACGTCCCTCTGCAAGGACAAACGGTATCAAAAATGTTTTGCAAATTAGAAGATTAATCTACTTTTTTTTTTAGTAATTCTGGAAGCATGCTTAAAGTGGTCTAAATTGTCTTGACTAATTTGTTGTTTATATGCTTATTTTTGGTTAATTTCTCAAAGAGCTTGAGTGTGCCATATCTTAGTGATTCACTTATCCTGCTAGCTGCAATTCTGTTTCCCAGGTTTTGAAGAGGAAGGAGTTGACTGCATTGAAGCACTTGACTGGTTAACTAGCTCTAACCTCTATACTGTAATAATCAGCTCCATCTCTGAACTGGAGGATGTTCTGAGCACACAAGGTAATTTTAACACTGTATTGTTGTAGCAGAAATATATTAAAAATAAGTAAGTAAGGGTGGTCATATAATTTCTATTTTTATGATTTTATCTAAACTATTCTGCGTCATAGCTCTGAAGAGATATTTCTGAATATTATGATAGACACCTTTGACGAGAGGTTATATCCTGAGCTAGTCAATGCAAATTTTAGTGGGGCTGTTTCCCTGAAGGAGTAATTTTATTGCAGGGTAAAATAATAACCGTCTTCTACAATCTCTGAATCATCACATCTCTGTACTATTGGAACAGATTCATTTTCTTTAACAGCTGATAGGATATTTTATATATATTTTATAGCCATGGAAGCAGAAGGCTGGAGAGTGTTTCTAGAGTTTATTTACAGTGAGAACTGATACAGGCTTCCTTGATTCATCTGCATTGCTGCCATCCCTGGTTCTTTATTAATCTCTAGTTTCAGAATCCCCACAATTTTGTCACAGAAAAAAAGGCTATTAGAAGAGGGATGATTATGTGAATAAAGGGAACTAGCAGGAGAAAGACAAAGTGATGCATTTTCCAGAAGGCTAAATACTAAATTGGTATAAAAGTTGTCATTGCATCAAATGTGCTTAGATGCAGTTTCAGGCACTTTTTTCTTTGATCATGCTGTTTTCAATAAATTGAATTAATATCCTTAAAAAGCAAAGTTTGAACAGTGTTTCAGATTTAGTATTCTGTTTTTCAGAATATTTACAGGTTCCATCCTGTATAAATGAAAAAGTACATGATATTACAAGAAATGGGAAGTAATAACCTGTTTGATGTGTTCTTTTTGTTGCTGTTTCTCAAAGATGTGCACTCCTGGCTTTCTGGACACTCACTCATCAGTGCAGCCAGGAACTGCTTTGCAAAACTGATGGACAGCCTGAGCATACTGATGGAGACAGTTCAGGGGAAACCTTGTGGGTGCAGAGCTTACCTGGAGAGGGACTCCCTGATACAGAGGCTGGCTCGTGGGCTCCACAGAGTAAACGCCCAGGCCCTGGAAGCTGGATTGTATGACAGACTGCCCAGCACAGTAAGCAGATTTACAGTTCTCTTTCATGGAAACAGAAGGTTTACAGCAGCAGTGAAGCTCCCTTGATAGCACCATTTAGTCCATGACAATGAAGTACCACTATATGGACACTCAGAAGTTGATTTGTCACACATTAGGGTGTGAATAGGTCTTCTCTTTTATTGACAGAGAATTTTTGGAGGAGGTTTAGTGTATCCAAATAAAAGATTTTTTTTTCAAGGTCTATCAGATCTGCATTAGCTTATAAGAGCAAATTTGCTTCTCGCTTGATGTAAATGTTAAGGATGCTTTTTATTATGATTTTCTACTTTCTCGTGTTTACCATCCTTTCTTTCAGTAAAGATAGCCTTCTTCCCTTTAACCAAAATGAAAGGATAAATTCTTTCTCCAATAATCTTTTATTGGAGACTTTAGGTGAAAATAGTACTTCTATGTAAACAGAATTTGCAGTAGCCTTTGGTAGGGTTGGTAGGTGACAGGTTCATACTTTTGCCCTTGTGTATGTCTTTTAGAGGTGGAGGAAAAAAAATGATAGTTTTGTCTTCATTTTCTTGGGTCTTAAATATGATTTATTGCTGACATAGCAGATTTTATAGCCCATCAACTTTTTTTGTTTGCTGACAGAGAAACATAGCAATCTTGCAGCAAGAAATATTTGAATTTTCACGAAGGCTTCATGCAGCAGAAGTAGAGTCCCGCTCACTGCACCTGCAGCTTGCAGAATGCAGATGGGCTCTCAGTGAGATGCAAAAAGATGCTGAAAAGGCCCACAGTCTGCAGGAGCAATTAAATGAACTTCAGCATGTAAGTGCATTTGATTTGGAGGCTCTCTTGCTTCAAAGAGATTCTCCTTTCTACACATTTTTGATTTGTGTCCTTTTGGAAAACAAGCATAAAATTGATTTACTTTCAACAGACTTTTGCAGAAACCTTGCCTTGTAAATATCACTAAACTAGAAGACAGATGTATTTAGAAAGACCCCTTTTCCACTGGAGTTTCCTTTTGATTTGTAGAAGGAGGTATCCTATATAAATTGCGGTTTGGTGTTCATCAGTCCAGGTTCTCCCATTTGTTGGAAATGTTGTGATGGTTTATGTATCCTAAAAGAAGATTTCACTTCAACAGAGTAAAGTCAGCTGGAATGAGGGTATTCAATAAGAATGTTAATGAGAAGTTCATGAAATATAAATATAACAGTTTAAACTCTGTATGGATGTTGATGAACATTATAATAAGTACAATACAAATTTTAGTAGGTCTGTTTCCCTGAAGAAGTAACTTTATTGGGGGGGTGGGGGGGAAAGCCTTTTCCTATGTTCTCGGTAACACAAATGAACAAAATTCTCCTGAGTCTTTTACTGTTGCTGATTAACTTACTGAAACATTGTGGGTTCCCTAACCTGAAGCCTAGTTGGTAGAAGCTGGCAATGTGTCCCAATCCAAACAGTTCCAAGCAGATAATATCTGCTAGATGATGTCTCACTCATTGTCCTTCCTGTTCCTATCTAATAAAATGGATTTTTTTTTTTACTCAAAAATATCTAATCATCTTCAGTTCTGTTCTCAACAGGTTTTATTCCCTTAGTGCTTTGGGACAATTAGATGAAAATTTTATCACATTTTACTATCACATTTTAGATTGTAGTTGAAATACAGATAATGATTTTCCTTGAAGAATTATTTCTTCTTTCTGGAACAGTTTTTGGAGAAGAACAATCCACAAAAGTGTTTACAAGGATTAATAAGCTATCCACTAAAATTTTGATCATTGATCTGCATATTTTTGCTTCTAAATATTGAGGTTTTGCATCCTAGGGTCCTAATTTGAATAGAACAATGAATGCCAAGACTTTACATGAATGTTCTTTATTAAAAAGACAGTAATTAACTGGTCTTCCATCTTACTGTTCTGTGATCTGTCTTCATGTTAAAAAACCCTCAATACTAATCCTAAGCATGCATTTGTTTTAAAATTTTGTATGTTTGCAAGTGGAACTTACTCAGTGGTAGGGAAACCACTGAATATAGTTACAGAATCAGGCACAACTTGTTTTTCTTTCCAGAAATTCAACCAAGACAATATACATGAGGAGTTAGATTATGCTTTGCAGCGTGAGCAGCAGGCAAGATCGCTTTTACAAGAACACCAGCGACGGCTTCAGGAGCTGAGTAATAGACTGGAATTGCACTCATTTGCCAGCCCAGATAGAAGCCAAGTCGCTGATGTATCTCTGCTGGTAAGCCTATTCTTCTGGAACAGTCAATAGAATTTTACCTTTTGTTAAATAAGCCAAATAGTACAGTCCTTGTGAAAATAAAGTAATGAGTAAATACACACACACTACTCAGTCTGATGGAATTTTAGGCTACTGAGAAAACACTTCAAAGACTCCTTTTTTTTTTTTTTAAGCTATCTATGTTTAATTTTTAACAATTAGAGAAAAAGTCTTCAATGGGTGTTTGTGTTGGGTTTTTTGCCTACAATAATTTTGTTTTCTAAAACACATTTATACATAGCAAATATACTAAAAACTAGGGGTTTCTGAATCAGTAATGCTTTTTATAGGTAATTCATAAAACCTTAGTATGCAGTGGTCCAAATCTACTTCACAATCAATTTGTCTTCCATGTTGGTCAGTAGGCAGTGGCATAAAGTGAAGTTTATTTGGGCTAAAGAGTAACTCTGCTCTCTGTCTGCTGGCAGAACCTCCCTAATGCAACGGAGCAGCTGAGGAGCAGAGACCAGGTTCTGTATCACCAGAAAAGACTCCTGGAAGACACGGAGCAGGACCAGCAGCAGCTTCAGGAGACTCTTGAGGAGGCGGAACCTGCCCTCAAACTGGGAGTAAAGTGAGCACTGGGGCCTGGGGGATGTCACTTAAAGTGAATAAAAATTTAAATTCCTACTTCCAGGGCAGGGTTTTAGCCCTGTACAGTGTAAGGTTAGAAGAGAAAAGTACATATCCCTCTTTTATTTTTAAATTCAGGGATAGTCTTCTAAAAACAAAAATGTTAGTTCAAAATACTAGGTCATACATTTTATGCAGTTATCCCATAATAGTGCACCAAATTCTGGGTGCTGAAATAACTAGCAAACAAAATACCTGTGCTTTCTTACTGCTCTGACAACATGTCTTTGGCAGATCCTTAAAGTTTTGTTTACTTAAGAAAAGATTGTTTGTTCACCGTGTTCCCACACCATCTTTTTGTAGACAGATACAATTTCTTTATAGTAAATACAGAAGCATCAGATAGGGGACAGATCTTTGCCACCAAGGGTACTGAAACCCATTTTGGACCTAGCCTTTCCTGTGGTACAAGATAGATATTCCTGCTGATTTCAGGGAGTTTTGGATTTAGCCCTAATCCCCACACCACTACATGATGACCTAGAGTAAAAGGAAAGGCTCAGGCACTGGTCTTGAAAAGTGAAAAGGAGCCCCCTTGACTCAAAGGAGGTTATTGCTAAGCTATTTTTACACCATGTGAAAAATTAAATCTTTGCAGATTTTGTTTTCTAATACTTATCATAGCATGAAATATGTATTATGAATATTGTTGTTCCATGGCTAGGATCTAAAAAAATTTAGTTAATTAAAATTTCTCATCATACCTGGGATCATTCAACCCCTGAAGAGCAACATCTGAGAAGCTTTAAGGGTTTTATGCACCAGAGAAATAATGCAATTTGCATAGTCCTCAATGAAATGTTTAACAAGCTAATTAAAATTATCAGATCATACCAAATGATGGTAGGATTTGATCAAAGCAGGTGTCACTTGCAGAAGGATTTGTTCTAGAAAGCTTTCTGTTTTCATCCTGCCCCAATCTATTTTGGGCATTTCAGTAAAGAGCATTCCTTATGGCCATACATATATCCAGTAAAGGTTATTTTAATGTGAAGTGACTTTAAAACTGGAATTGTTTCCCTGTATAGAGCAGCTGAATGTCAACCAAGAAAGCTACCCTTCCCTTCATTATTATAGCAACTCTTCACAACAAATAGGGGTTTTTTCTCCTTTTGGAACATATAAACAAAGCAGATGAAATAAACAGAATCTGTCTGTGTTTTCCAATACAAGAATATAATACCACCCTGCTAGAGACTTTTTATGACCTCTATATCTAAGCCATGATACTTGTTCATTAATAGACCTATAATTACATCTACTTGAATTGCTTATCCTCAACAGAAGCAGCTTTCATATGGAAATGCACCAAATAGTGGCACATTAAGTATTTTTAGGGTTTGCATTGGAGATATGAAAAAGAGAGAAAATCCAAACAGTTTATAACTGTTATAATAATCAACAATTATTTTACAAGACATGACATCCATAAAGTAGCAGAAGATTAATTTCTACATTGGTAGAGCTTCAGTTCCATAAAGTTACTCCATTATTTTGTTTTGGTTTGTTTTTTTTTCTTTTATAATAGAGACAAAGAGTTGCTCATCAACCATATGAAAGCTGTGGAAGACGCCCTGAATGAGGTAAGAATTGGAAGTGTTGCCTCTGATTTGTGTTTCCAAACATGCCAAAGCCTTAGAACTGCTTCTTATCAGGGGAAGAGAGAAGTTAATGTAAAGCAACTTCCTTACTGTTGAAGTTTCCCTGCTCAACTTCTTCCATCTTAATAAACCACAGTGAAAGAAAAGGCAAGTTTTTAGTACACACGCAACTTGTTCTAAATGTATAAGTTATGCCAAAATTCACTTTCCTCCCCTCACTGAGCATTATTTCTGGTTGACAAGTGAAGACTAATGGAACACACAAATTTTATGGTTAATCCTCTACTGAATAATGAGAGGTCACGTACTTGGTGGCCATATTTGGCTTTGTGTCTGCTCCTTTAACCTATGAAACATCATAAATAGGAAAAGGCAGGAAATCATAACCTTTGGACAGAAACTAATGTGGTATTTTTTAAAATCATATTTTAAACTTAATAGTAATCTCAGGTTTTCCTTCTGACTTATACAATTGTGCCTTGGTATAGGATTATTTGAAGGTCCAATAAAGATGTACATATTAATTATTTAGGAGAAAGGACTATTTTCAACTTTAGCTCTAATGGCAGATGGTTTCATAACTGTTTTTAATCAAGAGCAGCATAGAGCTAAAGAAGTGTTTTCATTACCTTGGAGTGTTGATTTCCCTTACTACATCTTTAATTCCTAGCAACATGGGATTCTTTATTTTAGTTTCTGCATTCACCAAAACTGTTGTTAATTATATTTTCAGATATCTTTTTCAAGTCTCTTTCCTTTAATGTTCATAGAAAATGACAGAACCTAAACTGCGTGTTTCACCTATAGCAAACCGTGCTGATAGAAAATTTCCTTTGTGCCACCACCATCTTCATACTGGCTTCTTTCAAACTTTGGAAGTGAATGTCATGCAGCAACTGCCGTGTTTTTACAGTAATACATATGTGCCATGTCCTTGGACTTTCTCTTTTCTGACCAGGGCAAGGTGCTTTTTTTATTTACTTGGTAGCATTCTCTCCCAGCACTGTGAGTTAGAGATTTATTTGCAATGAAAATTCAATCAGTTGTACTTTATTCATGGATGTTAGGTTCAGTGATCAATGCAAGTCTACTCAAGGGGCTCAAGGGGACCCAGTTCATCCCAGCTGGTGTGTATGAAGGAGAATTACCACTGATGCTGGGTTTTTCCCTTTAGGCCAAAGAGGAGGCCGTGGCAGGAGCTGCAGCAGCCACGCCGCTCCCCAGCCTGCAGCTGAAGACCCTTTCAGAGGAAGCAGTGAGGGGCAAGCCAGAGGCTTTGTCATTCCAGGTTAGAGTCTAAAACTAATCCTGTTTCATTTTTTGTGTTTTAATTTTCTTTCATTTTTGGCATCTGAGACACAACAGGCAGATAGACTTCTCTGAGCATGTGGAGAGCAAAAAGCTTCAAAACAATTACAGTCAACAGCAGAAAGACAATTTCCATGTATACTCTTGCACATGGTATTTCAGCAATGATGGTAACTTTTAATCTTGCAGTTACAGTGCTAAATAACTGATGGGAATACAAACATGGACAGAAGTATATGTACCTGAAAATTAATATCCCTCTATCTCCCTCTCTTTTTTCCCATTAATATACACAAGACTAATTAAAAAAAAAAAAACAAACCAAAAATACAAACAAAACTAAAACCAAGTAAGGTTCCCACAAAAAAACAAAACCAACCAAATAAAAAATACAAGATTTTCATACTCATTTTTGGTCAGTATCAGATTTTTTCAACTCACATATCTAGAATCAATTATGGGGTTTTGAGCATTCCTCATTTAAAAGAAACTGATATTTAGAATGTTTAATATAGAAGCTATTTTGCTCATGTAGCTTCTATATAAATATAATTATTATATTTATTATATTAATTAATTATAAATATTATTCATATTATATATAAATACTGATTTTGTTAGGACAAAACAGTAAGTAGGAAAAAAGATAAATTAACAGAAAATGTGCCATATTTTCAGCTCTAAACATAGATTCAGTGCAATGCCTCCTCATTGTTTTTAAGTTTGATGTCTTCTGCAGAAACTATCCATTAGTCTTTATAGCTGTGCAGAATATATTAGTGCCAAGACAGATTTTTTTTCCCAATGAAAGAACAAAAGGCAGTGAGTACATATTTCTTTCATTGTACTTCTCTGTCTGAAGAGCAGGTAATCAAGTAAATTGCAAGAATCTTAGACAAAATAAGTATTTCATACAGTGTGTAAGTTTCTGCAGTAATGCCTTACAATTTGTTCTAGATTTTCTGTTCTAATGTAGTATAAAATTGCAGGATCAGGGTCACAAAATCAAACATTCAAGAAAGGCAGATTCTAAGCTGAAAAATTCTCACTGTTGCTCTCTTGCATGCATACATGCCTGATAACGATATAAATTATGTATGTATTATCGTGTTTCTGCACTAAAAGATGGAAATACGGAATATGCAATACTTTGAGATTCCCATGAAGCTTAATTAGCACAGATGAACTTTTCCATCAAAGGGTAGAATTACAAATGTTTTCCCAGTACAGTGATCCATTTTAGAGCTGCACAAAAGGTTCCATGTGTGGCATCTTTTCACAGGAGGCATTGTGACAATCATCAGGTTTTAAATCCTGCTTTTCTAATTTGGTAGTGGATGCTGCTTCTTTTTTCTTTTTATCCCATCCCAACTCCCATTCTTTTTGACCTCACAATGATTGCAGAAGGATCTGCAGCCTGTTCCCTCTTTCTCTCCAGAAGAGAATCAGAAATACAAAAGGTTGCCTTTCATATTTGCACAAAGTGCTTGTGGTATAACTAACAAAGTAGAATACGTGCTGGGGAGTTTGCTGCTGGGGCAGACTGGTAAAGTTCTTGTTCACTTGGCAGCCTCAGGTGCACTTGGTAACTCAGGACATACACAAACAGCACCAATGGCTCACAGTCTGTGTCACTGTGAACTTTGTTTTCTCCATCCCTTTTCCTCTTTCTCCCCTTCCCCATCTCTCTTTCCCCCTTTTCCCTCTCTCTCTCTTCTGCCCTCATCTCTAGTTACTGTTTGATTCCTTTCCAAGCTCATTATTGAGGTTTTATTATGAAATTTACCTTTTATAGACAGAGGTCACCTAATGGATTTTAGTTTTACTTTATGCCAAACTGTATGAAGGGCAATCCTGCAATCTTGAGTAAGGTAAGGAGTTAGGAATCACTTTAGGAGCACTTGTCATTAAAAGCAGTGGAGTTGTTTGCAGGCACATCCTCTAGAATTGCCTTAGTTAGTCTGTGGTGAGCACAATTCAATTAAAGGCCTTATAATCTGCAAGAATCCTCTTTCAGAACTAGAACCACAGCACCAAGACATTTTGTAGATTCTTTCTGATGACAAAAGATGTGATATGGGTTAGTTTGGCACTGCTGGTTCCTAGAAACCATAATGAAATAATCTGACTGAATTTAGCAGTGTCAACAACTATCCTGAAAATCAGCAATGAGAAATCAAGGAAAGAAAAAACTACAAACATCATTGTCTTGGTTCGACAAGACAGGAGTCTGTGGAAGAGGGCAAAGCCTCCTGTGCAATGGAGAACGGCAAACCCCCCTCCCTCTGAATTACCAGGATCTTTAAATTAAAAGGCTCTCAGGCAAAGATGTGGGAATGGGAGTAACAATTCTTTACTAGGAGAAAACTAGACAACAATTTAAAAAGGCAAATGCAATCAGTACAAACAAAACCAGTGAGAAAGTCCAGAACCTGAGGAGTCGGGGTGCCCGTAGCAGTTCTGCTGGGACAATTGATCCCCTTGCAATGGTTGATGAGTTGCAGCTGAAGTGGTGATCTTTAGAAGGGTACAGTTTTCCTCTGAAGATCTGGTGGCAGTGGGGCCGGTCTTCCTCTGCGCCGGGGTTGCCTCTGAGCTCCGCTGCCGTCGCCTCACTGCGCTCCGGCTGCTTCGCTGCGAGTGCCGCCGAAGAGAGCTGCTTCCCTGGAAATCCCGCGAAGAGAGAGAGCCAGCTGCCTCTCTCCCCAAAAGCTACCCCTTTAAACCATAATAGAGTGCTTGGCTTCCCCCTCTGGGTGGGACCCCTCACAATAGGATGATGTTACATTTACCAGCCTGGCAGTGAGTCAGTCAATAGTGTATAAACAAACCATTGCCTCTACGGGGCAAACCATTGTCTCTGAGAGAGATAACAAAAACCTGTCCAACCGGTTTGCCTTCAACAGATGGCAAATAGAATACAAGCTTATCTTACAACCCAGGACAATCATTGTAAATCAGTTTGTGGTAGTAAGCTGATTTTTGTCTGTATCACAAGTTTACATTCAAAAGACCAGTGTCATACTGTCTGAAGAGGAAAATTATCACAAATAAAATGTGATTAACCATTGTAAAGAAGATCAATAATTTCAACAATTAGTTGAGACAACTTGAGATACATATAAAGTTACCAGTACTGCCAAATCAGCTGTGCTCTCTTGTTCTGCTAATTTTATCATCAATCCAAACAATATGACGAAATTGGGACATTCTTCCACTGCACACATGGAAATAGTTACATTTTTCCAATTATAGTGCAATCAGATAATTGTTTGCAGAGTTCTGTAGGTTTGTGATGTATCTTTTGTTACTACCTTTTTTTTCTTTCTTTCTTTTTTTTTTTTTTTTTCCTGTGGAGTGGAAGGATTAATAAATTGACTCATCTTGGAAGTGTGAACATTAGCCTGAAACTGTGTGGTAATTTTTTGTGAACAGAAATTGAACCTGAAATAAAATGAAAAAATTGTATCAAGAGATCAGTGCTGTACTGAATACTTGAAAACATCTCATCAAAGCATCTTCTAACTAGGGTGTGGACTCATTCCCTACTCCTCAATGATATCAATATTCAATATTTTAGAAAAAATACAAAATCCAGCGTTAAATGTTTTTTGATGTTTATGTCCTGGCACTGACATTATGCTTACAATCTGTATTTGATCTCTTTGCTAAAAAGAAATGTTATGTCTTCTGTAAAAAATTTGGAAGTGTGCTATTTGGCATTTAAGTGTAGCTTGCCTGGCACTAATGATTCCTTCTACTTTTATTTAAAGCACGTGCTTAGACATTTTATGGATCTCTACTCATTGGCAGCTTCCAAAGTTAAAGCATTAACATCAGGAAGAGAATCTTCACAGATTCACTTTGAACCCTTAATTGCTGAGCCTCTTACTCCTGCTGCTGATGGTAAGTCTGCTTTTCAAGCAATTTCAGTCACTTGGATGTGGGTTCCCAGACAGCATCTCCCTTCATGCTGCACAGCTTCAGTAGGCAAACACAGCAATACTTGATTGTAATGATAATGGAGAGCAATAAAATTAGTGCAAAGAGAAATGTTCTGAGACATTTTTCAAAAGAGAAAGGGGATGGTGAAACCTAATACAGGGATTGAAATTACTACTGTAAGTTTTCTTCCTACTGGTCGATGTTTGATTCTGAGTTTTTTGGTTTTAGTTCAGATTTGTTGCTTGATTGGTTGGATTTTTTTTTCTTTTTTTTTTTTTTTTTTTTTTTTTTTTTTTTTTTTTTTTTTTTTTTTTTTTTTTTTTTTTTTTTTTTTTTTTGTTTTTTTGTTTTTTGTTTTGTTTTGGGGAGTGGTGGGTGGGTGGGTGTTAGTTTGGAGATTATTTTCATATTTCCTCCCTTCCTCCCTTCCTCCCTTCTTCCCTTCCTCCCTTCCTTCCCTCCCTTCCCTCCCTTCCCTCCCTTCCCTCCTTCCCTATCTCCTCCCTACCTCTTTCCTTCTCTTTTTTCTTTTTCCTTCTCTTTCCTTCTCTTTCCTTCTCTTTCTTTCTCTTTCTTTCTCTTTCATTCTCTTTCTTTATTTTTATATATTTTGGGTTTTTTTAACCAAAGCATTTTCCTTTCTTTCTGTTATAAATCATTAACTTTTCTGTAATAGCCTGTCTCTGTAGCCTAAACCCCTTCGGTTCTGCCCATTTCCTTGCTTTTTAACATTTACTTTCTTTGAACAGAATCCTTGCAAGTTCACTTTTCCCCCGAAGCAGCTGGTTCCCCTCCTGCTGGTGCTGCTCCTTCTGCTCCTGATGGTAAGTCTGCTTTTCAAGAAATTATAGTTTCTTAGATGTAATTTTCCAGAGAGCATCTCCTTTCATGCTGCTCAGCTTCCATAGGTAAATACAACATTACTTGATTTTACACATATTGGAGCAATAAAAGTAGTGCTAACAGAAATGATCTGTGACTTTTCAAAAGAGAAAGGGGATGGTGAAAGATAAAACCGGGATTAAAATTAACTTTTTTTTTTTTTTCCTCTATTGTTCCTGATTTGCTTAGGTTTTAGTTTGGGTTTTGTTTGTTGAATCTTTTGTTATTGGGTAGTAGTTGTGGTGGTTGGGTCGGTATTTTCATTTACAGTTTTTGATTTTTGTTATTATTGTTTTCCCTTCCCTTCCCTTCCCTTCCCTTCCCTTCCCTTCCCTTCCCTTCCCTTCCCTTCCCTTCCCTTCCC